ACAGTTTAGGGGGTCAGAATCTTTTATAAGTTTCCAAGGGTTACAAGGTCTTCAGGCCTCCTCCAATTCCTTTCCATCTGTTCTTTCCGCACGAATCTTTTTTACGACTCCATGTTCTCATTAAACCTAGATTACGGTCTCCATTATAGGTGAGCAACCCTCTTGCTTTCTTGTGCCACAGACAGCAAGAACTACTAAAAGTTTTTAGCAATGACTCACTCTCTTTCTCTCCTATACACACACAGGCACCTCTTCCTTATTACTATTCTACTTTTCTACTTCCTGGCACAATTACCAAAACCAGAATTCATCAATCACACTGAATACATGGCAGGTCCATGCACAATGCTGCTTTGACTCAGAAAGATAGATTTTACCTAAAGTCAAAACAGACAAGGCTGCAAATGGCTTTGAGTCAGAAATTCATCACTTCTTCACCAGAAATGTTTCGGGTGCAAAACAGGCAAGCTGCTTGTAAAGGCAAAGACAGTATTTCTCATCTGGAAGTGCTTGTTGGTATAGGATTGTGTACACGGAAAAAGTCTGGAGAAGCTCTCACGGAATCTTCTCGTTTCACAGACGAGGAAATGAAGAGATGTCAGGTGACTTGGCTGAAGTCACACAGCCAGTTACCACACAGCTCTCACTAGTACTGGGTCTCTTGGCTTTCCCCATCCACGTTCTGTTGAACACAGGATGCTCTTGGTGATGTGGGGCACCGTGATTTGTTATCTTCTGTAGATGCTTTGTTACTTATTTCTTGTTCGGTTGGTTATGTTGGTTACTTGTTGAGACTGAGACAGGCCATCCTCGTCTTTTCTTCCATGGTGACTCAACTGGGATTCTGGGAAATAGAGGTACGCACAGCCTGGGCAGCAAAGGGAGTAAGCAGCTAAAACGTGACCCTTCCAAGCATTTTCACTCATGATTCCGACTCTGCAGTCATACAATATCATAGAATTAATGTGTATTCCATTTTAGTTCTCGTAAATTTTGCATTGGTTTCTTGAAGAAAATAAGAGAAAAAAAAAGGTACCAATTGTGAAAATGTTCCTCGTAGACCTGAAATCTCTCCCAAAACATCTTCTGCTCATTCTTTTAATTTTAAAACTTTCCTTTAGAGTGAGATATAAAATAATGAAACTAATTCAGTGGTGGGAGGGAGGAGGAAGAACATGTTTTAACATCTGGTTTTGATACTCCAAACTAAAAACACTCCCAAAGTCTACATCCTCCCTGGCCCAATAGCTGAGCAAGAAATATAACAGAAAAAAGGCAGTTCTCTTTAGTATTTTGCTACTTCATCCCGGTCTTGTCTAAAACAGACAAACAAAAAAATCACAGTGCTTTACAAAAGTTTAAATTTTAATATTACTTTATCTTACAATGTATTTTCCCAGTTAGCTTTCTTACCTTTAACAAAAATCCAAATAGCTATAGTTTTTCTGATAAATTTCCTGTATGTAACCGAATTTTCCTCCATTCAACCCAAATTCAGTGATGTCATCAGCTTAAGCTCAGACCTCCTAAACCACTTGGCTGCTTCCACAACTATTATAATGATTCCAATGAAAAAGAGAATGGGTTATTAAAGAGAATGCTTCGGTTTGTTTTGTTTTGTTTTGAGACGGAGTCTCACTCTGTCGCCCAGGCTGGAGTGCAGTGGCATGATCTCGGCTCACTGCAAGCTCCGCCTCCCAGGTTCACGCCATTCTCCTGCCTCAGCCTCCCGAGTAGCTGGGACAACAGGCACCCGCCACCTCGCCCGGCTAATTTTTTGTATTTTACTACAGATGGGGTTTCACCACATTAGCCAGGATGGTCTCGATCTCCTGACCTCGTGATCCGCCCACCTCGGCCTCCCGAAGTGCTGGGATTACAGGCGTGAGCCACCGCGCCCGGCCAATGCTTCGGTTTTAAATCACATTTTCTTCAGGGAAATGGAAAAAATGTTAAAAATACAAGGAAAATGAAGAAAACACATCAACTTTGAATAAAGGTTTCCATTTAAAAAGTTTATTTCTTGGGTATACTGAAGATCTAGAATTAAAAACATATTAAGTCCCATTGCTTTATTGAAGCTTGGCAAGAACGCCTTTACACAAGTCTTGACCCTGTCTTTGTTTTCATCAAAATATTTTTAAAGGGCACACACACCCACATACCATGGAAAAGCAAACATCTTTTCCAAGAAGCAGTTGTATCTGATTGTTATACACGTGTTCCTTCCATCAGTCATTTTCAGTGTCACCTACAATCCAGTATCTGAATGATGGAGGCAAGAAGCATTCAGGTTCAACAACTGCACAACCCCCAAATGGCTACACTGAGGCAGGAAAATTGAGTTTTCTATTTCCAGATATTTCACATTAGAAGTAGAATAATAATAAAGATAAAAGTATTGATAATCATTCAGAAGAAATACTCCTTTAGAGCTTCGAATGTTTTTCTTCTCCAGAGAACCGCACCACACGGTAAAGTGGGAAAACAGCTCTTACAAAAGAGATTTCAGGGTAGAAGCCTCCAAATTTGAAGTTATCTTTTTAATAATTTTTTTCAAGACAGGGTCTCACTCTGTCACCCAGGCTGGAGTGCAGTGGCACAAACGTGACTCACTGCAGCCTCCACCTCCCTGGGCTCAAGTAATACTCCCACCTCAGCCTCCCGAGTAGCTGTAACTTATTATTATTATTTTTTTTGTAGAGAAGGGGTTTCGCCACGTTGCCCAGGCTGGTCTTGAACTCCTCGACTCAAGCTATCCTCCTGCCTCTCTCTTCCAAAGTGCTAGAATTACAGGCATAAGCTACCACATCTGGAATAAATTTTTTATATTAAAACAGTTTTAGATTTTAAAACTGAAACGGCAAGGCTGGGCGCAGTGGCTCATGCCTGTAATCCTGGCACTTTGGGAGGCTGAGGCGGGAGGAATGCTTGGGCCCAGGAGTTCGAGACCAGCCTGGGCAACACAGCGAAACCCTGTCTCTACAAAAAATACAAAAATTAGCCGGGCGTGGTGCTGCACACCTGTAGTACCAGCTACTCGGGAGGCTGAGGTGGAAGGATCGTTTCAGCCCAGGAGGTTGAAGCTACAAATACATTTTCTTCTCCAGAGAACCCTGCCACATGATAAATTGAGAAAAGAGCTCTTACAAAAGAGATTTCAGGGTAGAAAGAACTTGCTGAGCCAAGTTCATGCCACTGCTCTCCACCCTGGTTGACAGAGTGAGACCCTGTCTTATAAAATAATAATAAAATTAAAAAATAAAAATCCAAAGATAATATATAGAGTTTCCATATACTCCATACTCAGCCTTCCCTATTATTGGCATCTTGTATTAGTATGCTTGTAACAAGCAGTGAACCAATATTGATACATTTACACACTTCATTCAGCTTTCTTTAGTTTTTCCTGAACATCTTTTTTTCTGTTTCGGGATACTACATTACTTTTATTTTATTTATTTTATTTTTTGAGACACAGCCACACTCTGTCACCCAGGCTGTAGTGCAGTGGCACAAAGATGACTCACTGCAGCCTTGACCTCCTGGGCTCAAGTGATCCTCCCACCTCAGCTTCCCAAGTGGCTGGGACTACAAGTGCCCACTACCACGCCCGGCTAATTTTTTGTATTTTTAGTAAAGATGGGGTTACGCCATGTTAGTCAGGCTGGTCTCGAACTCCTGGCCTCAAGTGATCTACCCACCTCCGCCTCCCAAAGTACTAGGAATACAGGTATGAGCCCCTGCACCCGGCCAGGACACCACATTGCTTTTAATCATCATGTCTCCTCTGGCTCCTCTTGACTGTGGCAGTTTCTTAGACTTTATGCTGACCTTATTCGTTTTGAGAAGAGCTGATCAGGTATTGTGTTTAATGTCCCTTGACTGGGATGTATCTGATGCTTTTCTCATGATTAGATTGGAGTTAAGAGCTTTTGCGAGGAAGACCACAAAGATAACATTTTCATCATATCATACCAAGAATAAACTATCCCCATAAATTATCACTGTTGATATTGACCTTGATCATCTTGCTGAATTAGTATTGTCAGATTTCTCTAGTGTAAAGTTACTTTTTTCTCCCTTTCCATTCTGTTCTCTTTGGAAGGGAGTCACTCACTGTGTAGTCCACACTTAAGGAGTGAGGAGTTAGAGCTCCTTGAGGACAGAACATGCCCACAACTAACTTGGAATTCTTTGGCACCACGGATTTGTCTGTTCTTCCTCATTGGTTTGTTTATTCAATCATGTATTTACATCAGCTTGGATAAATGACTATTTCATACTCTGGGATGCCATTGGAAACTACTTGATAAATTTTGTTGTTTTGCTTTGGGCATGAGGAGCTCTTTCGGACCGCCCCTTGTCCCTCTGGCATACCCCCATCGCTGTGGGTTGTTGCTCCTGCTGTTTGAGGGCTTCCTTACTTTCTGACATTACAAGATGCTCCAGGCTCATCTTGTATATTTCCTGCCCCTGTCCTGGATATTTCTCCAAGAAGTCGTAGTTCTCTTTGTTGGAGAATGGTGTCAGAAACTAAGATCTGGGTGCTGGGTGTGCTTACTTCTAAGACCCTCTCAGCTGACAAGCCAAGATATAGTGTGCGTGTGTGTGTGTGTGTGTACACATGTGTATACATACAAGTATATGTACATATGTGTATATATACACACGTATACATACACGTATAAGTACATGTGTACATATACACACGTGTATACATACACGTATATGTACATATGTGTGTATATACACACATGTATACATACAAGTATATGTACACATGTGTATATATACATGTGTATATACATCTGTGTATATGCATATGTACACACATATATGTACATATGCGCACATATATGTATGTGTGTGCATGTGTGCATGTGTGTGTGCATCTGTGTGTGCACATGTGCATGTGCGTGTGTGTGCACATGTGCACATGCACATGTATGTGTGCGCGTTGTGTATGTGTTCATGTGTGTGCATGTGTGTGCATGTATGTGCATGTGTATGTACATATATACATCTATACACATACACGTATATGCACATGTGTACATGTACACACACTAACCCTTTGAAACACATATCTGTAATTATTTCCATATGCAACCATCCATATCTATATTAAGCTATTTCACTTTGATACTCATAAGTTTTATTCTCAGCTGGGATACGGTGCAGGTGGGAAATGGGGAAGCCACTAATGGAACTTAAAAGAAAAGGTACCAGTTTACAGATTTTCTTATATTTCTGTCTAATCTAAAAACAGAAATTTATTGAAAGTTAATATAATAAATTTATGTTTTAAATATACTTGAAAACTTTGCATACAGTAAGTGACATGTGAAGATCAAATTCAAAAAAAGTCATTCTCTCTCTCACTTGAGATACAGATTTATCTAGAAGCTTCCATTTATTTATTTTCTTACCTGTAAAATGAGAATAAAGAGCTTCTCATCCCAGCCTGAGAACTTATAGTGGGTATAACTGATAATATTCTGCCATTCAGGAACAAATATGTAGAAACTATTTTAGTTTTAATAAATGTAGACTCTGTCCCCTGGAGGAATAAGCTCTAGCTAATTATGTTTTTCAGGCAACTGTAAAATGTTACATTTTCACACAATTATATTCATAAAGTATTGTGATCTTGACAATTACTATTCATTTATATCACTAAGAAGTTATTTCTGTCTAGCAAACTGGCATTCCTTACTCATTTTAAAGTCCTTAACATATCCAAACAATTACCAGGACATCCTGAGATGTATTCTGCAGCCAAGGGAGCGCTGAGAGACACCTGGTGCTCCTTCACAACTGACTGTATATAAAATTCCCCACCCCAGAAAAAGGGGAAAAAAAGAGAAAACATCTTTTTAGGATTTGCTTTTTAAAATAACTTTTCTTATCCTCAGAAGACTGCACAAATGGCATTAATATACTAAGGCGTATTCCCAAACTTCCAAGGATACAGTTTAAACATCTGCTGTGATCATATAGTTTATTGAATTATCAGAAAATGAGATATCAAGAGTAAAATTATCCTTTGAAGGAGCAAACTGTGCCCAAGGACCTCTTTAATTTCTTTACAGAAACTATCATTTACCCATAAGTACTCGACACTTTTACATGTCACTTAATTCACCAGTCTAAGCTCTTTCTTTGCAGTGAGCACTCAGGAGAAAGTCATGTTTGAGGCCACAAATATTTCTTCCAAATTCTGTCAATAGTTTCTTCTTCCTCATTATTCTAGTTCAAAAATGAAATATCTAGGAGTATAAAAACTACAATTTCCTAGGTAAATATTCAGATAGCATATTGTTAAATCGTATTGAAATTCCCATCTTTAATAATTTCAGGAAGCGTGAAGATACAATAAGAACACCTGTTTCATTCTTCCACAGTCTCCAAAAAATATCTAATAAGTTATTCTATAAATAAATCACTATGCTTTTGTACTGATGTAAGTTTGCACCAACCCAGCAATTTCCCAATGGCTGCCTCAGACTCTAACAGAAATAAGACAGGAAGTGAACTCATTCTGAGCCGGGTGGGAGACCAGAACAGGAGGTAAGATTAGAGGAAAGGAATGAATAATTAGAGCTCAAAGTCGAAGTGAGGCTTTAAAAAACTGTACCTGCAAGGCGTTTTGGGGGAAGAATTGAGGGAGACATGTAAGCTGTTGCCGAAGACCACCGCTTCGATTAAGGAAATCCAACGCTATAAAAGAAGGCTCTCAAACCCAGCTAACAGAGGTCAACGTTCCTCATCCAAGCTCTGCAATAATTACCATATTGAATGCAGTACTTTGGCACAAATAGGTAAAATACGGAGGAATCAATAAAGTTTGATTTTAAAATTCTCAAATTTAAAAAAATCTCAACAACTGTTGGAGGAAGAACAATAAGAAAAGGATTTTTAAAAATCTGAACAACTGTTGGAGGAAGGGCTGCCTAAATGTACCCTCCAGAAAACGATGCCTCATCAACTCCTCTTCCTCGAACTAAAACCCAGGGGTCTTTCTGGTACCAGACACCAAGAATCACGGCCAAAGAAGCCAGTGTGCGGTCTCAGAGGACTGTTATGTTCCTCCGAAATAGGTCTTTTGTATGCTTTGGGGGGGGGGGGGTGTCACATTACCTGAAAACTGACAAAAGTCAGGGAGGCATAGCTGCCAATAGACAGGTACGGTAAGAAATGCACAAAGCAGAGCCGGCTTTATCTGAAAGCACTTTGCCAGGCTTCACACCAACCCAACTTCATGGCAGTCTGGTCTCTCAAGGGACTATGAAGGAACGTGAAGGAAGTACTCACTTGGAGACGTATTACTCCCATCTACAGCACTCCAAGTCACTAGCAGAGATCTCAATGGAGAGCAAGGCTCAGGATTTCAGCATTAAGCTTGCCTTTCAATCTCTTAACTCAGAAATAGGAGGGCTTAATAATCTTTTCATCCTGACTTAAGGGAGCTAATCCTATTAAGGGTTTAGCATGCCTGGGAATTTACCTGCTTCACTGTAGGTCTAAGGATTTGAGGCTACTGGGGTCATGTCACAGAAGACACAGGAGCATCTCTGCAGAACCGGTCTCATGTTTGAAAGCATTCCTGCAGTGTACAAGATTAACAGGCACGGGGCTTCGAAGCGCTCGGATAACCTACCTGCCACTCTGGTCTGAGGTCCATGTAACTGATCGCCCTTCGGGTTTAGTTTTGTACCATATCCTGATAGCATGAGGAAAGTCAGTAGCTGTCTGAGCCCCTGTCTTCCTGATCTGTAAGCTCCAAGTGTCAGTGTCAAAGAGGAGTTCCCCACAGCCAGCAGCCTGGCTGCAGCGAGCATAATAGTCCAATTGCTCCCTCCAACGATTTGCAGGCAAAGTCACAAGTTCACGTACAATCTGATTCCTGAGCTCCTCAGAAACAACAGTGAGCTCGGGAGACCTTGTAAATTTTTCCATACCTGGCACAGCAGCAACATCCACCTCCTCGACTTTTAACACAGATAAATCACAGCAGTCCAACACTAGCAAAAAATCCTCACTCCCATGATTCCCTGTGTCACAGCAGTACTTCGAGCTAGAAATCCCAGAAGCATGTTCCTGGTTGTCATGGTTACCATCTTTATTAGAAGTATCTTTTTCACCTTTACTACAAATTGCAAAATCATTATATTCCGTTTCAGATGAGAAGGTCCTTGCATTTGTCACAGGAACATGGCAGGGCTCAGGCATCCCCAATTTGCAGGCTTTGTTTGACTCTGATTGGCAGACTTCCTCGATAGAGCGATTCTGTTTCTTGAATCTGTTTCCGTCCTCAAGGAAAAGCACTATGGTCCCCTCAATGACTTGACTTTCAAAATCCACATCCAAATCCAGCACATAGTGCTTCACTAGTATGTGGCTGGTGTTGGCCATGAGAGGCAGGTCATCTCCGGCAGGGTCCAGCTGTATGTCCATGATGTGGTTTACTGTTTGAGAGATTTCTTAAAATCTCAGATGGGGCTTCCTATCTGCCTTAATCTTCCAGAATCATAAATAGCTGCTTATCAAAAAACAACTGATGTCAGAGATTATGGTTCCACAACTTTCAATCTCCTGGCAAAAAAGGAAAGCACAATTAGACAAAATGCCAAACAAGACCTAAGTGCTCCCGCAACTGCGGCTCCTGCAAGTTGGCCACCGTCCTAAATAATTCCCCAAGTGGTGGATGCTGGTGGCTGGAAGGCTGACTAATCTTTTTTACTGACATGAAAGAAAGCTGCATTATGGGTTTCTAAAAATATTTCAATTACCAAGTGGATGGCACGGGCCTCCACAAAGCCAGAAGAAGCATGCTCCAATGAGAAATGTCCTTCTTTTAGAAAACAGCAATTGTTATGCAAAAGTGTAACTCAGCATCACTGTGCCTATGGTCTTAAAAGATATTAAATGTATCCCTTCCAATTTTGTGCATCAAAAGATAAGTGATTGTTTTTCCACTGTGATTCCAAGTAACAAGTGTGAATGAAGGCTAAATGGCCCCATACATTTTATTCTTTGAGAGTAATAATTTAATACATACAATGTAACTCCAGGGATTAATGTACTTTTCACATTAGGACTGCTCTCATATCAGCACTTCCAGTAAATTACAGGAAAATGAGCCAATTTACCAGGAGTGCATTCTAAGTATTCCTTTGAGATTGTTCATGGAGATTTTTCAAATTTATAGTTAAATACTCAAGGTATATCATTACATCTTAATAGCTGAAAACCCATTAACATTCTGGATAATAGCCTTCTTGTGGCAAAGCAAAAGGTCTTCTCACTTGGAAAAAAAAAGCATGCAAATACCTACAAAGGGAAGGAGAGAAATTAAAATGTAGAAACAGATGTTACAATAAAATGCACAAGTTCTTCATAAAAGTTCTGAATCAAAATGTATTCTTATTGTATACTAGCAATCTGGCTAAAAGAAAAATTATTTGAAATTATTTCAGTCCCTGTTGTGTACCTAATTTCTTTCAGCATATGCTCTTCTTTTTTTATTCTTTTACCAAAACCAAAAAAGAAATGGCAGGGAAACAGAAAGAAAAACTCTGACAGAGTAGATATATTTAAAATAATTTTTGTATTTCTAAATATCAGGAGGCATTCTTTCAACAACTACAAAACACCATTACCTGCTTGAATTTTCAAGTAAATCAAGCCCTCCCTTTGTACCCTAACTCCTCCTCACTTCCCTACCAGTTTTATCTGCATCTCTACTAGACCCTTTTCTTTTATTTCGTTTCCTTCTAGAATCTCATTCTTGGTTAACATCCCATTGATTTTCACTTTATACCTCTCCACAGACTATTTCCTCTTCAAGATCTCACCTAACCTTAAAAAATCCTGTCTCCTGCAGCCTTGTACAGTTCAGTTTCTATCTACTTTTCCAGTCATAGAGGCAACGTTCCCTGGCATCCTCGTCCTCCAGCCAAAGGGCGGACTCAAAACCCTGCTTCCTGAAGAGGACTCGACTCTAGGCCGACGGGCCTTTTGGACTAACCCATGTGCTGGACGTGCAGTGCTCCTGCTCCTGCCCTCCCACCTCCACCTGCCAAATCCTGTTCTTCCTCCATGTCCCGGTTTAAGTGCAACCACCTCCTGAAACCCTCCCCTGGTCCTTGCTCCTCCCCCACTGCATTGTGTGTGGCACACTTTCAGTGCAATAGGAGTAGAGAGAAAGCAAGGATGCAAAGAAGAGTTTGAATTTACTTTATGGAGAAGCTGGTATTTCCCTTGGCCCTAGAAAAGTCAACGAGCACAGGGGATAAGCCAGAGTATTTTCTGTCCTGTCATTTTGAATAATAACCTTCAATAAAGCCGTGGCTATTTCTATGTAATGAGAAACAGTGATCTTAAACCTTCATTCTGATGGTGGCTGTGGCTGCGAACATACAGTATTTTGTTGACTGGGCATCTTTTAAAAAACTTGTTTGATTAAAAGCCCTGAACACACACACACTCACACACACACAGAAGGAAAGCCCTGAATACACACACACTCACACACACAGAAGGAAAGCCCTGAATACACACACACTCACACACACACACTCACACACACTCACACACACACTCACACACACTCACACACACACTCACACACACACAGAAAGCCCTGAACACACACACACACTCTCACACACTCACACACACACTCACACACACTCACACACACAGAAGGAAAACAGGCATCAGTGAGACAAAGGTCAGTTTAGTGGCTGGCTAAACTATCATATTCAGAGAAAAACAGTTTAGCATTTTTAACATAGATATAATTATTTATTGTCCAACTCTAACAGATTCCTAAATTCACTTCTAAAAATTTGTATAATTTAAGTATAAAACACATTCTACAGAACAGTTCTCACCACTTTTGTTCCTGGTGGCAGAGAATGAGGCTGCCCTAGAGCCCCACCCACTCAAGCCTGTTAGCAGAACCACTGTTAGGAAAAGCCACGGCTGGCCTTCCAGTGGCTAACCACGGCCGCCTCTAAAATCAGCGCACTACGTGGCATGTGTCTTAAGTGATGAAACGTCTGTCACCTGACTGACAATCCATTGGTTCTCTTTAGCGGATTCTTCCGCATACTCTCCATAGAAGCAATTCTAACACCTTTAACTTTCCAATTCCATGCTTGCTGTCATTCTCAGCTGAGGATTTGGCCCCCTGCTTTGCTGAGATAATTCTGAATCTCTGCAGCTCAACCATATCTCAAAGTATCATTAGCTCTTCATAAGTATTACCTTCTCTTGATTCAGAGGGAACAATATCCCTTCTCACCAAAGCTTGTTTAGTTTATTCTGCCCCACTGAATCCCAACTTCTGGGGTTTTGAGAGAGCCAAATAAATAGCACATTCCTCTCCCATCCAGATTCTGAATGTAGCAAAAAATAAGATATGGCAAAGGCACACCGACATATCGCCATTACTACTGATGAAGGCGAAACTGAAGAACATGGCTTACTGTGAGAGCCAAAGGTAGCTGGAAACTGAATCCCAAAATTAGGTTTATCAACATGGTCACAGGCAATGCTTCCAGAAGGAGAGGTGGCCTCCCTCAGGTAAGATTTAAGGCCTGGAGGAAGAGAGAATGGCTCTCTGCGGTCAGGATTGTTGCCCAAACGCAAAAGGGAGGACATGAGCAGAGCACATCCTGTCTCCTCTTCCCAAATTTATCAGACTAAGTCACTCCAGATCCCTTAGGATAAAGGCACTGGGATCAGGAGTGTTACACTGACTGAACTCCCCCAGCAAGGAAGGAAACATGAGAAGTGGGGAAGAAGTGTTCTCTCAACACCATCCCCTTCCACTTACTTGAACCCTGTTTCATTTGACATTTTTCTCTTGCCAACATTTTATCCCCCTCAATGATTACACCCTGTTCTGAACATTCAAACATCCCTAGGGTTGCGGGCTCAAGCAATCCTCCTTCCTCAGCCTCCCAAGTAGCTGGGACCATAGGTACGTGCCACCACACTCATCTAACTTTTTAAATTTTTGTACAGATGAGGTCTTGCCATGTTGCCCAGACTGGTCTTGAACTCTTCAGCTCAGGTGATCTGCCCACCTCAGCCCCCCAAAGTGCTGAGATTACAGGTGTGAGCCATCACAACCAGCCTTAGGGTTGCCATCTTTTTTCTTTTTTTTTTTTTTTTGAGACAGAGTCTCGCTCTGTCACCCAGGCTGGAGTGCAGTGGTACGATCTCCGCTCACTGCAAGCTCTGCCTCCCGGGTTCACGCCATTCTCCTGCCTCAGCCTCCCGAGTAGCTGGGACAACAGGCGCCCGCCACCACACCCGGCTAATTTTTCTGTATTTTTGGTAGAGACGGGGTTCTGCCGTGTCAGCCAGGATGGTCTCGATCTCCTGACCTCGTGATCTGCCCACCTCGGCCTCCCAAAGTGCTGGGATTACAGGCGTGAGCCACCGCGCCCGGCCTAGGGTTGCCATCTTTAAAAACAATCAACAACTTCATTTGGCCTACTTTAAGTCATCTTTATTTCACTGAACTTTGGAACTGAAAAATTCCTTAGGGCTCACTCAATCCAACTCTCTAATTTTACAAATGAAGACAGCGAGTCCCAGACAGGCAAAGCAATTTGCTCAAGGTCACCCAGTTCTTTTTGTTTGCCGTGAACAGAACATTTTCCACCTGCTGAGGCTTTTCCTGGGAATTCTCATCCCCAGGTCTCATGGCCATCTCCTTCATATTGTCTAAGTCATAAGTCTCTAAGTCTGTCTTCCATATCTTCCTTCGACCTTCTTTATCTTCTTCAAGTTATGCAGACTAGTAAGCAATTCTTATTGCAATAGCTTGGGGGGCAAAGGAGAACTTTTAAGCCAGCCCCAGAAGATTCTGAAGAGCACTATCACTTCTGCATGGTTTCCAACCTAAATAATGTATAAGTCTATTAGTTGTTGCTTATTTGCCTATGTCTTACTTGTCTTAGATGCATGGATGACCTAAATCATCTTTCTCTCTGCAAGTACGTAACGCTCACTGACGTCAGTCAGGGTCACAGCCCCACATGTAGGGAAAAACTGAACTGCCTGTGGTTGCAAATGCATGTATGTGGCCACACTGCAAGGTCTCTCTCAGCAAATGGAAACCATATTTCTAAGCAGTCCGTCGACTTCAGCACTTTTGGCTATTATTGTGCTCCAATTCAAAATGCCAGCCTGTCTCACGGAAGCATTTTTCCATTCTCTGTCACAAGCCGTAACATATAAAAGTCCCCCTTATAAAAACCAACGCTTAGTCTCCAGTGGCTAACCATTGCTGCATCTAAAATAAGTGTGCTAAAAAAAAAAGAAAAAGAAAATACGTGTGCTATGTGGTATGTATTTTAAATGCTTAAATGATTGTCTCGGCAGCACCGTTAAAGGCTTTGAAAGGATTAGCGTACAGTAATATTTTCCTTAAGGGGGAAGAGGATCACATACTAAACAGAGCTATGGCGCAGAGAAGAAACTGCTCTGCCATTCTCAGCCATCCAAAGTGGAATGCACCCATTTACGAATGTGGGATATAACCTCTGTAACGCCGTCCCCAATCCCCCCAACGAAAAAAAATTTCATTCTCCTTTCAAGCTACAAAGCAAGGTGTATCCTTATGACTCTTGAACTTATCCTGGCTCATTTTATAGTTACCTCCATCCTCCAATGCTCTAAAAATTCCTTGTAACTCCTGAATCATTTTTGCGTTCATGACCAGGGTAAGTGGAGTATCCTCCACACAGCAGGTTCTCAATAAATATTTGTGGAATTGCCATCCAAAGGCTTTTGCGATTTCAACGTCTAGTTACTTATACAACAGGGATTCTAGCTTGTGTACTCTATAGTCTAGTGCTAAGTTACTGCTTAACAAACATCTCCCTCCAGACATCTCATTTTTTCTTCTCAGGATACACCTGTGCCTCTTTTGATGCCACATCTTTTTACTTGTAAGCAACTGGGGGAAAGGAGAACTTATTTTTGCATATATGCTTATTCTACAACATAGAGCACACTGTGAGTAATTACTAAATATTTAATTCCACCGATTACCTGACCAGAGAATGACAGCTTTCCGCTATTCCATTATTTAGGATATGCCAATTGCTCTTAATAACAGCCAGTGTATTTGCTGAAATACACGGTTTCTGGGCACAATTCTTCACACAATCAAATGCATGTAGTCACAGGAACATAGTTTACTGCTGTGAAATTCAATAATTTCAGAATTAGAAGGAAACTTAGAAGTTCAAATATACTGTTTTGTGTTTATAAATGTCACACTGACATACTATTCTGCAACTTCTTTAACTCAATGGTTCTGAGATATAGACATGCTGATGTATATAAATCTGTCTCTTTTAACTGCTGTTTAATGCTCCCACAGGAATATCCTATAATTTATCCATACGTTCCCCTACTGATAGATATTTAAGTTATTTGAAAATTTTCTTCATTACAAATGATGCTGCGATGAGCCTTGTACGCACACCTCTTAGCTGCACCCTGCACGTAAAACGATGTGGCACAAAAAGAGGCACAGGTGTATCC